TACTGTACAATCATCTTGTTTATAACCTGGTTTACTTACCCACTGTACAATTACCTCCTCTATAACCTGGTTTACTTTCCTACTGTACAATTATCTTCTTTATAACCTGGTTTACTTACCTACATTACAATCATCTCCTTTATAACCTTGTTTACTTACCTACTGTACAATCATCTTCTCTATAACCTAGTTTACTTACCTACTGTACAGTCTTCTCCTCTATAACCTGCTTTACAACCATCAGTACATTGTCCTGTTGCATGATGACATTCTTGTGATCCTTTACAATGTCTCTTGTTACATAGTTTACTACATCTATCTCCATAGGTACCATTCGGGCATTCTGAAATATAATATACAGAATGTTATATAACAACCGACCAATTCTAACTATTTTTAATTACTAAACACCTTACACATTTGACACTTTGGATATATTACTTGCCCCACCGAACAATCAAGTCTGGCTACGGGACTGTGTGGGACAGATTCCATGTTACTTTATAAGTTATGGGGAAATGTAGACAGTTCGATTCAAAACTTACTCAATATACAATCATATCCTCTATAACCGGGTTGACAACCATCAGTACATTGTCCTGTTATATGATGACATTCTTGTGATCTTTTACAATGTCTCTTGTTACATCGTTTACTACATCTATATCCGTATTTACCACTTTGACAACCTGAAATATAATATAAAGAATTCTATATAGGACTGAGATTTCTTGATATTTTATCATTGATAAGTGTAGACAGTTCGATTCAAAACTTACTCAATATACAATCTTCTCCTCTATAACCTGGTTTACAACCATCAGTACATTGTCCTGTTATATGATGACATTCTTGTGATCTTTTACAATGCCTATTGTTACATCGTTGATTACATCTATCTCCATATTTACCACTTTGACAACCTGAAATATAATATAAAGAATGTTATATGTGACTGAGATTTCTTGATATTTTGTTATTGATAAGTGTAGACAGTTCGATTCAAAACTTACTCAATATACAATCATATCCTCTATAACCTGGTTGACAACCATCAGTACATTGTCCTGTTATATGATGACATTCTTGTGATCTTTTACAATGCCTATTGTTACATAGTTTACTACATTTATCTCCATAGGCACCATTTGGACAACCTGAAATATAATATAAAGAATGTTATATGTGACTGAGATTTCTTGATATTTTATCATTGATAAGTGTAGACAGTTCGATTCAAAACTTACTCAATGTACAATCTTCTCCTCTATAACCTGGTTTACAACCATCAGTACATGTCCTGTA